TCTCTCGAAAAACCAAATTAGTTTGCAGTGTATATTCGTTAGTACAGAATACTTCATCAAATGCATGGCATAACAACCTACAAATTTTCCAATCAGTTTCAGTCTTGTTTATCCCGCTATTTTATCCTTTGTCGTAACAGTGGTATTTGAAGTCGTTGTGTGTGAATTCCATCTCAGGTCCGTTCGCGACTATCGCGCTGGGTATCTGCAGTCGTTGCGAACACTTGAAGCAGCAAAGGAACACGACTGTCGCACGAGCTATTCACGAAGAGGTACTCCACCGACGTTGGTCACAAAATCCAGTCTGATGCTTGGATTGGGTGAAAAGGACGAGGAAGTTCTCGCAGCTTTGCAAGATCTTAGGAAAGCTGGAGTTGACTGCGTCACCCTTGGGCAGTATATACAACCAACCAAACGTAACTTAAAGGTAAGGTCATTCTTGTATTATTTCTCTCCCGGCTAGTTTACCTTCTGCCGAAAGCGAATAATCGCCATATCTGTGTGTGCAGCAGCAAGTCGCGGTAGTAGGATTTACTCATCAAGCACAGTCAGCCTACCTTTCTTTTTTCAGGCGCACTGCGTTCCCATATGACAGCATTTGTTCACACACATATGGTCCAAAATGAATGAAGCACACAAAAAGCAACGTTGCTGTCTTCCATTGAAACGTTTATCCAGCCTCAAACTTACACACATAGACTAGTTTGTTTGTCATTGTCTCCCTAAATGGACAGTGGACACCAGCCAGTCCCATTGCATGCTTCGATCACTGAACCACACACGTTACCCAGCGTATATCTGGTCGATTGGTTAGATGGGATAAGATGTTTCATTGCCATTGTATTTTCATTTCCACCATGTGTACTTTTGCACAGTCTATATGGGTCAAAGACATTTATTAATTGGCGTCACATCAATGATATTGATGCCCGTCGCCAAAATTTGAAACTGGCAGAATATAAAAAAGCACCGTTCCGGTCATAATTTCATTCCATTTCACATTCTACCTTTGGTCTATGAGTACTCGAAGTGTTTTTTCGGTGATCTGTGTTTGATTTACCTTGTGTAATGAAGTTCATCCCATTCCAATTCAGGTGAAAGAATACATCCATCCAAAGAAGTTCAACTACTGGGCAAGTGTTGCGAAAGAACTTGGCTTCCTTTATGCGGCAAGTGGACCGTTGGTGCGTTCATCTTATCGGGCTGGAGAATTCTATATTGCAAATATCGTGAAGCAACGGACCTGCACGTAATCGAACTTTCACCGGGAAACTTTGAGATGTCTGTGATTTCCGACGTTCCATTATTCCCCCCCCCCCATCTTTAGACTCCACCGTTTGTTTCTTCCAGATCATCAGACTAGGTCCGCTTCCCAGTTCTCACGATCCGCACTATTTCCGGAATCAGCAGCGCGTTATTTAGAAAAATATTCTGAAAAGCTTTGGCGTCTTTCTGTTATTAATCCTGAGGTTGTATCTGGCCAAGGTTGTTCGAGCGGAAGTGATTGAACTTATTCCAAGACAGGTGGGTGTTTGAGTTGATATGCGATTCGAATGAATGTATAAAGAACACGCAATATCATTCACAGCATGATCCACTTCCTTGAGTGGGACGATTCGAGCAAAGTGCAGTAGTGTTGCCGATCCATCAACCCCGTAAATGCAAAAACAAACTGTTTTGTAACCCTCAACCCCTCCGCTATTTGAAAGACATTATACCTTTTTAACTTCACATACACCCAGGCATGAATACCAGGATGTACGCCAGTCATTTTTATACCGTATCGTCTCTCGAGTTAAAGCTAAAGTGTTCTAACACGTGGTGCTATAAGGGACGTTCAAAGACTATCAAATCTAACCCTGCTGCAGGACGCCACGCAACTTTATTCAGAGTCTGGCTTATTGGTTGTACGGTATCCCCATCAGTTCAAAGTGTACATAATTGGTTTCAATTGCTAATATGTTGCAGTCTGTGTCTTCGAAAAGACGGCTGAACACTCTGGTCATTCCGGAGTGTTAGGCCTGAAACGGAGCCAGAAGTGGCTTTCCGCGTGCGTCATTGGCTAGCGCAAGCTACTTATAAATGTCTGCATTGGGTGTTTCTTATGAATGGTGTGGGCCACCATATTAGCTTTGGCATACACTGTGAGCCTCAGCTGTTCAGTGGTCGTCGTTTGAAAATTGTGAGTCATCAACTAGACAAGCTGATTGCTGGCTTTAGAACCGTGCTCTCCCGTCCACCTTTGGGTTTGTGTTCCTTCGGATTCACATTGGGCTCCGCTCAGCGGCCACTTAGTGGCTGTTTGATGGCGACAAGGCCGTAGGGAAGGAATTGTTCGTCGTGACAGCCCACCGTCAGTAATCAGGCACAAAGTGGGTGTTCCGTCAACTAAATAATATCATTTGGGTTTCCGAAAATTCGGTGCTGCATGTGTTTGCATGCAATCTGAAAATAACCGCCGCAAAACAGGCTGGGATTGGCTGAGATAAAAATAGGCTTTCTAATGAAAACAATACTGCTTCCGTCTGTCCAGCTGGGTAACTTATTCTCATCGTCTTTCGCAATCATCAACCGAGTCAAAGTTTCCCCTAGCCTTTGTCTTACCTGAACACGCAAGAGCTCCTTGACTGTAACCATTGAACAAAGTGAATACAGACACCTCAATTTTGCAACTTGGCTGACTCAGTCGGATAAGTGTGTAGCCTAGCACAGTCAGAAAGTTTTCGCCGATGTAACGACGAGCTAATGTATTGGTTGTGTGCATAGTGGAATAAGTACTCAGGCCGGCAAAATAAGAGCTGTGTACCTTAAGCCTCGTCATTTCTGGTGACAGTGTGACCTGGGCGCAAGACTCCGGGGGCTCGTGTACCATACTACACTGCCCGTCGTGTCACCATATAGGTGTGACATTTGAATTCTTCGGATTGAAGACCCCGATAGTCAAATGCATGTGACCAGCACTGTCCACGAAAGGGTGTATAGTAGGAACAGCGTGAGGACATAGAGTAATTCAACATACAAATGTTCAAACGTTGACAAATTCGTCGGTTAGGATATGTTGTGCGTGCTTCTAGTCACTGAGTTCTTCACCCAACCCTGTTCGTATGCACAGAAGTTGGATGAAAACGTCATACAAAAGAGCGGTCACCGACTTTGCACAAACGGATGAAAGCCAGTTGGTTCTCCTCAACTGCCCTGTTCTGAGTAATTGAATGTTGATTACCGGCATGCCTAACTATAGGTAGTAGAGCCGGGCGTGGATAGCTATGCGTCGAAATTAATGCGATTGCAAGAACGCCCGTGGCTACATCATGTCTACAAGGGTCACTCAGGTCTCTGTGCAGAAAGACGGCAGCTACCGCTTGTGGTTTTCAAGATTCGCCTCCAACTTACAACTTGACTTCTCAATGATCATGCTCGTTGAAATGGCCTCTTTCAAGAGGTCCATCGTCGGACGCCGTTTTTGGACCAACACGGGGCTCGGTAATAGGCTTCCTATTAGATCTAACCTACTTCCCTATTGATCCGATTTGTAAGCAGCATACAAACACTACTCCTGTGATCAGAGGTTGAAAATTCTCTGACTTAGTTACTTGTCAGTATAACGGCGTTGTTGACAAGTTGATATCACGGCAATCCAATATACTGACGAAAGCCGAATTCTCTTTTTGACCGGCTTCGATCAGGCCACCAGAACTGGTGTGTTTGCCTAGCTGGGCGATTTGTCATTTCCATCGACCATGTTGCTGTCATCATCTAATATCGAAATCTGGTCCTGACCAACCCTTTTGCACTTTGAATGTGTGCAATGAATACCCTCACTTGACATCAATCACGCGGAAGTTTATAAGATATGGGGTAAAAAGACAAATACTTAATTTGAAAGCTTAGTCACCCCTAGACATCTGGATTCAGGTCACAATTTGGATGCACAAGAGGCCCAACTGTGTGTGTACAGGCATGCATCAACGGAGAGTGTAGATCAGATGCCCGAAGCGCTGTGAACACCACGTAGACAAAAACTCCGATGGGTACAACATCACCCCATTTTCGTAAGCTCCATCGCCATCCCTAGGAATTGATGTTTAGAAACTAACATGGCCCGGGCCTCGTCCAATATAAGCTGAACAAGCCGGAACGTGAATAAGAAGGACTGAGTCCGCTCCGCCAATCGCAGTTCGCTGCATTGTGAGAATGGGTCAGTCTTGGGCTCGTCATCATCCTCTCTGCATAGTCGTGTGACAATTATGATTCCGTTCGTCTTCAGTGTTTTGAGGGAACCATCCTCGCATTTTGTGCAATTGTGATTCCGTTCGTCTCCAGTGTTTTGAGGGAACCATCCTCGCATTTCTCCGATTCTAAGGATTGCCGTATCATATTCAGTTTGCGGTAGGGTTACTGTGAATGGCATTATATTTCTTGTCTGGGCACCGTGACATTGTTTAGTCCATTGAGCTACTTGGTTAACCAACGAACCGACCCAAATGATTTCTCAATTTCTATGGTGCTAGTTTCTGTGCTAAAGCAGGAATTCCACAGAAGACCTTCCGCCAGCTTTCCAGGCCACTAGCTGTGATTTCTGCTTGTGCGATTCAGTGCAGTGGTGAATGAGGTAATGTTGCCAACAAGCCATTGCTTCTGATCCACTCACAAACATTTCAGTAAACCAGATGACAGAAGTCTTGAAAAACCTACCATGTTATCCTAAAGAGGTAATGTCCACCTACGTAGAGAAAAAAACAGACTCGGTTGTCCTAACGCAGTCGCAAGTTTATCGGCGTTGGTTTACAGTCTGAGTATATGGAAAACCTTAAAGTAGTGCAAAAGCCCAGCAAAAGTCCTTAACAGAAGAGAATTTCGACTAGCTTGTCAGAGAACATGCGAGATAAGTGTTGAAGCAGGGATTTATGGACCGCATGTATGACCATCGCTGAATCTTATTGATTTTCTCCGAAAGGAAGAAATTCCAAAGGTCGAATGGGACTTCCAGCTGAACAGGTCGGACCCTTCTGGACTGTGACGTGAAATTCAAGATTAAAAGATGAATGATATTACCCGTCTAACTTTAAGCTAGTCACACTGCGCGCGCCTGTCTTGACCGAATTGTATGGTATGCAATCAGTGGCAAGTAGGCCATGGGTTCGAACCCCCGTAGGTGATTCTGAAATGCAGGATGCCAATGGTCCCAAACAAGCATGAAACACATGCAGCGTTTCTCAACTAAAAGCTTGAAATATCGCTATCTAGGAAATATAATAACTGTGTGGTAATATATAATGCCTCCTGAGAAGTCTGACCGATGTTTTCATAATAGGACATTTGCTAATGGGGTCAGATAGATGAAAAAAAGTTTTAAAGACATGGTAGTTGTCTAAGCAACTGTGAAAAGATTTGACTCTACCTTTCAGGGAAGTTTGGAGGAAGACGTCAATTTATCAATAGGCAACGCTTCGCTCTTACCACTGAAGCGGTTGATTTACAGTTGATTAAATTTGAAGAGCTTTAGTATTCGTAATCAGTATTAGTAATCCGTCCACTTTTCCCACAACGTTGATATTGCTTGAATTTACTTATCGCACAAGTTAAGCTGTGACAGATCTCAGAAAAGCCGATAATAATCACCTCAAGGGCAGGTCACTTCGACCAATGTACGCGTCGTGAAATTCACACCTAGCATTGGTTTACAACGAGCTGACTATACAACACTATCAAGGTCGAAAACCAGGGAATCATGGTGGTAATTCAGACGTTTTATCCATGTCTCACCAATGTCTTCAGCGTCCAATTATTCGTGGTTCTCACCCCTTCACCTGATAATCTGCATCCATGAGTGAGCTTCGAACCTAACATGCAATGACCTCATTCATCAACCTTAAGAATTTCCGCTAACCCCACCGATAAACAAAACATTCGGCGTAAAAATAAATGCTCTCTAGACAGCAATATCCATGGAAGTCAAAAGTTTACATTCTGATTTGTGGAGGTTTACAATTTCAGCAGCCAACCACTAGGTATTAAAAAAGCGGTCTCTTAGTGCTGACCTGTTCGAAATAACTAGTGCATTGAGCGGATCGTTGCACAGTAACCAGGTGAACAAAACTGACGTTACAGGTGCTGCTAACCCGATCAGTCGGTATCACGTGGACAAGGAGCATCGCCTGGCGTTCTTTTGGCACTCATTTGGACCACTAACAGAGGTTTTAGGTTTGATGTAACGTTGTTCTCTCAAATAAGTGAGTGCAGTGTCAGATCCTAGATTAGCGTCCGTATTCAGCAGAGACGTTTTCAGCTGTTGGCTGAGTACATGGATCGAAAGTCTGTCAGGCACACCGCACTACCTGGCCCTGGAGAAGATACTCAGTTCACTACTAAAAGGATAAGAATTCATCAAGATAAATGCTCCATTGCGCTTACTATTTCGTCCTTGGAAATGAGTTCATCAAACTAACCAATTATGAAGTGGGTGTCAATATCAATACGTTTGATTGTGCTGGCTTGCTCAGTTCAACCCGGCCAAACAGCTTCAATATGAAATCAAGTTGAAACTCTCAAAAAGAGGTAAATGATCAAGTAACTGCAACTCTTCCTAGTGTAAAAACTATTCCTTCTGGGAAGAACTGGAATTTAACATCAAAACAACCCTCCTTCCGTAGAGGGTTCACCGGTTACGGGATCATCCTAAAGTATAGAGGAAAATGTTGGTAGCTCAGGTAGCGCAGATGGTGGTCGTTGCTGGCACAACCACCAACCCACCACTACGCACTACTACGCTTCACAATAACGCACTGATGATGTCACCTCGATTGGTGATGAAACGTTTGCAATCAAATTGCACAGCTCAGCGAACAAGCCAACGACCACCATCATTCTAAACTCTCTGGTTGACGTCCTGTGTACGGAACTAGCTTCTTATCAGTATCAGTAAACTTATTTCTGGATATGAAGGAAGTTCTTTCCATCAGTGGGCTTGGAATGGCATTACACCTGTTCAGCGATCCAGAACATGGTGGTTGGAAACACTCGGATGATCTCCACTTTTTCGGTGCAAACAACAACCTACCTGTTGACACCCACAGGTACATCGCGGGGCAGATGGAATAACCGCTCACTAAGGAAACAGCCCATGAGCATTTGAACTACTGAAGTCAAGTACGCCAGAACTTAAGCCTTACCCTTGCTCATCTTGTAGATGAAATAATGACAATGTAAGATTTCCCGAAGTGCTACTAACTGCTTTCTGAGTAGTATGCCGATCTTCGCGGACCTACTCCCCGGAAAGCCGGTGAAACATTTGGAACTCCTACCTGTTAGAATTTTAACATTGTGAAACCTACACTTACTCGCTCTGCATCCATTGAATGCAGCATCGACGGTGTGTATTCAGTGCTAGAAATTATTTCCTTGACCACGGAATCCGCTTTTACAATAAAAAACGTTGCTTCTCACACAATAATCTGCATAATAGGCTGACTAAACTACCGCAATTGTCGAGTTCTCCGATTTCTCCTAATTTACTTTGTGGAAATGCACTCACCTATCTCTAAAGTG